ACGTTTGTGAACAATTAAGGACGAGTAGCCAAATTTTATTATTGCTCATGGCTTCTTCTTTCATATTGAAATCATTCCTATGTATTTGCAAATTTATTGCCTATCTATACACCCCTGAATAGTAATTTTGAGGTTCCTGGAGTATTACTGTATCTTCGTATGAAATAATAATGTTAGTGCCTCCTTTTTTGAGACCATTTTCGGCTACAAGTGATTTGTCGGTTTGTCCGTGGCGATAAATTCTCTTGTGTCCAAAGAAACGGGTACCTACCTTCAGTTTTTTCGCGGTTTTGTTGGGCTAAATATTGCTCTCACATCTTGTTTCTCTCAGACTCTCCCAATCTGATCTGTTCAATCACATGAACCCACATAGCAATAGATATTCCAGGTATATTTCATGAATATACATTTAAGGATACTGTATTATGCTATGAGTATTCCATGGATATATATATCTTCTGGAGAATATTCCCTGGAAGTGCTCCTGGCGAACCTTTGATATATTTTAAGAATATTCCTTGGGAATATTCTTGGAATATTTTATAATATTCTTAGAATATGTAAGAATATTCTATTAAGAATATGCCAGGAATAGAACCTGAGGAATATTCATGATATATTCAGGATATTCTTAGTTTATTGTAGGAATATATAATAGGGAAATACCATAGCATATTCTTTAAATATATTTCATGAATATTCTAGGAATATTTGGAATATTCCAAGAATGTGACGAGTAAACGCTATTAGGCATGTATATATTGCATTTTGATGCAAGATTCACACAAGTAATAAAACACATAATATTCATAAACATATATATTTCAAAAACAATATACACTGAAATATTTGACGTTTCAACCAATATTAAAAATAAAAAATCTAATTCAAAATATTCATTCACTGAATAAAATTTTGCTGAATACTGTCATATTACAAATATTAGAAATGTATTCAAATTAGAATGTTCCTACTCTACCAATATTAAAAATAAAAAATCTAATTCAAAATATTTATTCACTGAATAAAATATTCCTGAATACTGTCATATTACAAATATTAGAAATGTATTCAAATTAGAATGTTCCTACTCTCAAACAAATGTAGGTATACTAAAAAATATACTAAAATAACAACTCTGTGAATTCATCAGCACTAATTAAAAAATAATAAATATATCATTTCATTGAAAAAAAAATGTATTACATCAATATAAAGGTTAGGTTAGGTTTCTCACTTCAAAAAATGAACCCACAAATGAAGTATTTCAAATGAGTGGTACGATGGGTTCTTCAATGAATTTCATTCACCTAAAGTTATCCAAACTTTGCTCACTAGAATAGTTTTCCTTATATTTGTCCAACAATGCATCAGCCAGTGTTTCAATAGTAATACCTGGAACAAAATGTACATTAACGTTTATTATCATTATTTGAAAATGACCCAATAAAACTGGAATAAAAATCAAATAGATATTTTTTGCATAGGTTACTCATGAACATTTACATTTTATGACTTGGAGAGCAACTTGCATTGTCTTGTTGAAAAGTACTCGTTAAGTTTTCAGTTCCTTGGCGCACCTGCCTGTACCAGGTACCACTCCGTTTCCTTTTGGGCAAATCGATACTATCTTGAATACGAGTGATAAAAATTATGGAAACAAATGATACAAAAGAATGTGTCATTCACTTACTTTTCTCTATTGAAGATACACAACTGAAATCACTCTAGTTCAAACATGTAGTTAGTCAAACCAACAAAACACACACACCAACTCTCCTCGAGCCTAAAATGAGGTATAGTAGGTTAATCACCATGACTTTACTATCGATACTATTTTATTTTACTTACTTTTCTTAAAGACTGAATATATGCAACTCTCCTGTTAGAAGATCCAAAATCAAACTATTCGCTGTACTGCAAATTGGACAACCCCAAATTATAAATGGTACACTGAACGTGAGAGAATGATACTTTGATGATAACACCAATACACCATGCATTACACACGCGAACCTGCCACGTCAACCACCATGTTAAATCAACATATACCAAGCATTAAGGGACAGCCGCTTTCACAGAGCTTATTCGACTGTCGCGCGCTACACTTCAATTGACCAATGAGAAACATTTACTCCAATTCTTCACTTCCCCATTTCTCTGTTTCCAGGATGTTTCGCTTTGTGATAATTTCAGATACAAAAAGACAAATAGGATGAGAATTAACCAATTTATTGATGCAATTGGTTCATTTATTGGCCCATTCAAATTTTTTTGTCGTTTCCAACAGTTACTGTTGGAGCAATTCATCCAGAATCTTTGCGTTGAGTTCAAAAACTGGTTAACACTATCAGGGTTATATACATTGGTTATGAGTTCGATTGAGATCTTCAAATATTATTGTTTTTAATAATATTGAATTATTTGAATACGTTATTATAAGATAATTCAAAATTCCATTGTATAGAATATTCCAAAATATACCGTGGGGATATATTCTAAGAATATACCATATGGTATATTCGATCGACAATATTCTTAGAATATTCAAGGGAGAATAATCCATTTATAGACATTCTATGCACATTCTTTCGGGAATAATCCTGCCATATTCATTCAAGCATATTCTATGAATATTCTAAAGGCATGTATATACTCCAAAAATATTCTATGAATATTTGGAATATATACGTTCGTTTCATGATATACAGGGAATATTCCATGAATATCTAGTGCTGTGTGGGTACTTTGATTTCATTGGAACAATCATTGGAATTTTTCTATTATGAGAATTTTAATGTAGAATATATAAATGCTAATCGAATTGAAAATCTAATAATGATAATTATGATCCATTACATAAGGGCGGAGATTTGGAAGACCCCTCGAATTTCAGGCCCATTTCTTTATTATCGACCCTTTCAAAAATTATTGAATGATCAGTGAATAAAAGACTAATATCCTTCTTATCGATGAACAATGTGTTAGCCTTCAGTTCGGTTTTCAAAGTTCGAAAAACACCACAGATGCCATTTTTTCCTTTTCAGAAAATGCATACTCTAGCAAAAATGATAAAAAGGCTGTTGCAGCAGTGTTTTGTGATTTTTAGAGAGCTTTCGTTTGCGTTGATCATAAGATACTGCTGCGGAAACTCAGCCATTATGAGATAAGAGGAACAAATTTGAACTGTTTTGGTTCATATTTGACAGGACGTCGATAGGTGGTGAAAACATCAAGTGGACAGTCTGATCACAGTGACAAAAAAACATGGAGTACCTCAGGGGTCTGTTTTAGGACCAGTGTTGTTTTCAATATACTCAAATGACCTAATAAACAATAATATCGCAGGACAATTTACTGTATTTCCCGACGATACTACTATTATATCAAGTAATGAAGGAAATAATCAGCTATCAAATACGATAAAAATAGATATTCATCAAATTCAACTCTGGTGTAACGCAAACTCCTTGTGCTTCAACCTAAACAAAACAAAACTAGTTACTTTCAAATGTATACTAGATTATTTAGATAGACTATAAATTAAATTTTAAAGAACATGTATCCCATCTGAGTCAGAAATTATCTAGTGGATGTTATGCTATTAGAGTGATATCAAATGAACTAGGGCACACTATAGCTAGAATGGCTTACTTTGCACTGATCGAATCTCATATTCGCTATGGAATAGCTTTTGGGGCCATTTCAGTTCACAATTACAGAATACGATATTTAAACTACAGAAGAGGTCTTCGAGATACCTTACAAAATCTAAGCCGAGGGATCACTGCAAGCCTTTATTCATCAGCCACAAACTGTCATATGTTTATACATAATAGAAACAGTATGCTCTATTCATAAAAATAAAACTAGCATGATCACTTCCGGAACAAATTGTCACAACACCAGACAGTACCATATGCTTTACTTACTTATTCCAAAATTCACCTTGACTCAGCATTCTCTGATTTATGAAAGTATCAAAGTATATAATCACCTTCCTACCATTCTAAAAAATAGCACAGATATCAAAAAGTTCCGAAGTACAATTGAAGATCTTTCAATCAAAAAAGCTTATTATTCGCTCCATGAATTCTACCATGATAATGATAATGATGATCTATAATGTTCACCTAAACTCATCTGTCTTCTCATTGTTTTATTTGTGAAATTGCTATGTTTGTATTTTTTATATTTTATGACATTCATTTGATTTTTTTACAAGACTTTGTCAATAAGATACTAATCTTCCGACAATAAAGCATATTGATTGATTGGTTGATCAAACCGTTCTTTCTACACCAATTATCAAATTGGAGAATAACGTTATTTGTTTTTCTGAGTAGCTCATTTTTATCTGGGCTGGATATTATTATAGATGTATCGTCTGCGAACATCTAAACCTTTCCGTCATTTATGTAATCAGGAAGGTCATTGATGAACAATGAAAAAATCGAGGGGCCGAGAACGCTCCCCTGGGGAATACCCGTGTCGATTAAGTGATCATCGGGAGTTTGTTCACTGATTTTCACTATTAGCTCACGACCTTCTAGAAATTAACGGATTCATTGTGATATGCTTCCACGAATCCCAAGTGCGTTTATTTTTGTAACGATGAAATCAAAGTTTAGCGTGTCGAATGGACGTGACAGGTCGAAGAAAAATCCAATAATGGATTATTTTCTCTCTATTTTTTCGTTTATCATTTGTATGAACTCCATTGTTGCCGTTTCAGTGGAATAACCTTGTCTGAATCCAGGTTGTTTTTCATTCAGTATATCAAACCGACACAGAAACCTATTTATTCTTTTTGTTATAAAAGTTCACTATTTGAATATTCTCACACACTAGTTCCAACCGATAAAATAAACTGATGATAATTTGACATTTAATTATATACATCTCACTACTTTCATTATATCAATATATTATACATTTCATGCAGATACAAATACCTAACGAAATATATTGAAAATAGTGGATGAAAAAAAACAGTGAAATAAATATGCAGTAATTTATTTGAATAAAATTCTGATTTGAATTCAATCCAACATTAGTCAACATTCACTCATTTGAAAGAAAATATTATGTCTGATTCTGATTCCACTACTCATCAGTTAACCGTATTCATGATCAAGAATTGTGAACAGGCCTAGAATCCCATCTCCCCAGCTACAATTTGCATAAAGTGTAGAACAGTCCACTCCATATTCTCCTGCTTTTTGAGCATCTAAATATTCAGGGTCTAAGTCGGGGTCTATTTGTCCATCGCCATACGAAGGCCTGAAAATCGAGATGAAATCGTTACGTTACGTTTGGAATACTACTCGATTTCATTTTTTTATGAATGGGACAAAGGGTAGATGTGGCCCTGACAACCAAGTGTCATTGATCGATAATGCTCTTTTGGAAGTGTTGAGTGACTAACACAATGATTTCGGGTTCTGATATAATCGAATTGTTACAGTGGAAGATGTGAAAAGAGACAGCGATTCTCCAGTCTCACGGATGTGGTGCTTCGGTAGAATTTTTTTGAAAAGAACAAAAATTAGTTTCAAATCATCTGAAGGAACAATTCGTCAGGCCAGTCTCAACTCCCTACACTGTAGGTTATTGGTCTGACACCTATCAGAAAACAACTACACTCCTGACTAATACCACGAAAAGCGTTGGATTATATCAGATACGTGTCTCTGCAGGATTCTTCACTGAAGTTATTCCTGCATATGCTGTTGGCGATACAACTGCTACAATAAATTTCTGATTATTGAAGCACACTTGCAGACTGTTTGGTCACTAGTCAGTGCCAGGTATCATCAAAATGAAGTCGATAGTTTTCGATAATTGAGAATCGAATTCCTTCAGAGTATCATTTCTCGAACAAGGCTGAAGCGGATAACAAACGACAGGTTTGCCATCGCCCATCTACCTGTGAAGGAGATAACCAACCGCATACCCGAAATTTGCCAAATTCCTTGTACAAGGAAAAAAAAATTTTCACATATAGTCGGATATGCGGATATACGGCTGGTTACCTCCTTCACAAGCAGATGGGGTGATGACAAACCTGTCGTTTTATGTCCGCTCCAGCCTAGTTCGAAGAATGATACTCTGAGGGGATTCAATTTTCAATTATCGGAAACCATCGACTTTATGCAGACCGAAGCCAGTCTGCAAGTTTGTTCCAATAATTGAAAATCTATTGCGGCAGTTGTATCACCAACATCATATGCAGCAATAACTTCTGTGAAGAATCCTGCACTGATATCTGTCGAATATAATCCAACGCCCTTCGTGTTATTAGCCAGGAAAGTAGTTGTTTACTGGTAGGTGTCAAGTCTATTAACCAACAGTGTAGGGGGTTGAGACTGGCTTGAAAGAACTGTACAGGTGATATGATTCACAGCCATTCTTCAAGTAGGCTATATGTAAAAAATGAGTTTTCATCTATACCTTCTTTTGAGTCTCCTCATCCTCCACTATTTAGAAATTTGAAATCATCTATGGAAAACTTTATATATGGGTACGAAGGGTAAAGTTTTGCTTCATTATCTCATAGGAGATTTATCTTGATATTTTGGAGATCAATATCTGGCTCCGTCTTCAGAATTTCGTAGTTTACAAAAAAAAATTGATATATTCACAATTTTTTTTCGACATCTGTCGAAAATGTTTGAAAATGAAGCACTGTTCGAGAAGGAGACTGTGTAATAATCGATTTCGTTGATTTTTCAGATGAAGCCTGATTCCGATTTTCAAATCGTCAAGATAAGTAATCTCTGAAATTAATAGTTCAATTGTTTTTTCGATGGAAAAAATGGAGTCGATGAGAGAAATATATGTGTGGATTTTGAAAACTCACCTATCGGATTCAACTAGAAGTTAGCCCTTCCTATACCTTATAAACTTCTCCATTGCTGATTTCTGATGTTTCGGATTGTGGTGAAAAGTTCCAGAAAACGTCAATTCATTGAATATTGCTCCCCAAAAATAACTTTCGTTCAATATGTTATACACTTACAGAAAACCCTAATTCCTTCAGTATTAACGTCGTGATAATGTTGTTTATGGGTGAGACAATGGATATTGAGAAAGAACCGATTAGAAACAGCAGATACTCTGTTGAAGAACTAGCATCAAAAGATAAAAACTTATAATTTGAACGATAAAGTTTGACTCAGTAAAATTTTTGTTGACCCACTGAAGAGTTGATTAACTGTATCGAAACAAAGGTTCTCACTGGATTTTTCGTTCAACTTTTGATCAACTAGAATCATTCGACTGAATTTGGCTCGTGAGACCGCGCCTTAAAACAACTTAGCGAATATGAAAATCGACCTAATTCTTATTGGTACAACTTCAACTGCCCATAAATATCTCATTTATAGATATATTTTGATGATTCGTTATTGACTGACGATTGCATGTAGTAGTGAAACGTATACTCACGTAAATGCAATGTGGAAGAGTAGTCCAAAAAGTCCGTTAGCTTCATGATTCATACTGTCCATAGCATTTTCGCATATACTTCGTAAAATACAGGCTTTTCCATCGATTCCAGCTCTGCAAAATTAATGCAGTATGTGAAGATCAACTACATTCTCATAATGTTTGTCCATATGAAGAATTAATTTATATAATATTGTAAAAAGTTAGCACTCCTCGTGAATTTAAAATACATTATTGTGAACAGAAAAATGATTTTGATACCTATTGGCACAGTATACCATTGAAATGTCAACAAAACCACAACTATTTTTCAGAGACAGAAGGAAAATGTTTGAGGAGTCCAAATGCGAAAACTTTCATGGAAGAAAATAATTCTCTTGAGTTGACATCATTTACGTATCATTTCACCATGTTCACATAGAGAGACTGTGTCCTTACATGGGTCGTGATGTCCCCTCTTGGAATGTTGTTCAGGGCGGAAAACCACAGGGAAGGGGGTAGTGTTGTGAATCATGCCCTAAAAAAAAATAACGCCGGCCGCCGCTTGTAGTCATAAACTAATTATGACGTAGCTACGAGCGCGCGAATGTATGATGTTCGCTGCCGTTCTAGATGTAGCGAGAATAATGCTGCCGTCTTAGATGGAATTCCGAGGAATATTCCAGGGTGTTAGATTGCCAAATATAGGCGACATCTACTTGCCCATTGAGTCAGTCAAATGTCACGGGGAAAAACATAACAATTTCATTTGTAATTTTTGACACGAGGGTCGTTGTGGTTACAAGACTCCCAAGGAATTGATTTTCACAAGAAAATTTAGTCGACGTGTTTCACGACTTTTTACAGTCCCATGACTTATTCAGGGTTGTTCATGTCAACTGGAAGGCACTGTTTGCCATCGAGGATTTTTTCTGTAGGCCTATCGAAAGAGATCTGATTTTTTTTTATACTTCATTGTCCAAAGAAAAAATCTTGTTGACAAAGTTAATGAAGAAATATAAAAAAATACATAAATGTTGTATGAATATAAAAGAATAGATGAAATATAATGTAAACTTAGGTATAAAAACACTGAATGAAAAATCACAAACAATGGTCGAAACATACATACACACAAAACATGCTCATTTGAAAATGATCGATATAGAACTCAGTCGAACTGTAATAGGGTCTACTACTCAAAATTTCTTCAATCATTTTTCTCTACTGATTGGTATCAATATTTATCCCTTTAGTGTAACTCGGCAGAGGGTGATACATCTTCACACCATTGTAAAATAAAGAGTCCTTTACCAGAGAGATGAAAGGGATAGGTAATTTTAAATTTTTTTGCACGCTCCGACGAGTTGTATAGTGACGGGTAGTAACCTCCAGTTTCACAAGATGTTTCTTAATTAAACACACTTGCTCCAGAACAAAAAGAGCTACAACCGTCAAATTTTTTTTATCTATAAACAGTCGCCTGCATGAGTTAGGAGTTTTAGCTTTGCACGAGTATCGTATAGCTCTCTTCTGTAATACAAATACAGAATCCATCAAATTATGGCTACGCACACCCCAAAAAGGTATACCGTATCTTAAGTGAGACTCTACCAAAGCGTGATATGCTGTTTTTGCAGTATAAACTTTCAGTTCTCTCTCTAGCAATAACTCTCACTACATAACAGCCAGTGAGAATTTTACTTTTCATTTTTCTGATGTGAGCGTCAAAGTTCAGTCCACCGTCTATATACAGTCCCAGAAATTTAGTACACTCTCTGTTCTCAATGATACCATTCGCTACAGATAAATTCTGAAGTGAACATTTGAAAGTCATTATATTCGTTTCAGAAATATTAAGGAAGAGTAGATTGGAATTACACCAAGACATCATGAGCTATTGTCTTATTGAGTATATCTATACCTTCACTATGCTACGATATAGTGGTGTCGTCAGCAAAAAGAGTGAATGTTCCAGATATACTGATGTCTATCAAATCGTTAATATACAACAGGAACAATATGGGACCGAGAACCGATCCCTGTAGTACACCAGTATTTATTTCAATACTGTTCGAACATTCATCAATCGTTTTCACAGTCTGACTGCGACCTTTGAGATACGACTCATACACCTCAAACAGAAAAGAGAATATTGCATCATGTGTGCTCTTGTTGCTCTGAAATCCAAATTGATTTTTCCTTATAATGTTATGGCGAAGAAGAAATTGACTGAGTCTTTTCTTAACTAGTTTTTCAATTATTTTTGCAATAGAAGGAATGAGAGATATTGGTCTATAGTTTGAAGGATCATCTACTGAGTTACCTTTATATAAAGGTATCACTATCGACAATTCTAGAAAGTCTGGAAACCTGCCATTTCTGAATGAAATATTGATTAGTGAAACAAGAGTTCTGAGCGCTTCCATCGGAAGATTTTCAATGATTTTGATTGAAATTTCATTATAAACAGATGTTGATTTATTCCTTATATCACCAAAAACTTCAAACAGTTCATCAATATTAGTATCATCCAATTGAAGAAATTCATCGATTGCAACATTTTCTAAATTAATCAGTGAGTCATATGGTACCACAATATTCTGACTGAGCTTCTGTCCAATCGAACAGTAGAATTCATTTATATTGTCCACTCTGATTAGTTCAATATCTCTGCTCTTTTTGGTACTATGTTTGTTTTGTTTTCGAAAAAAGCTTTCGATTTGGGGTATTATTTCATGAGATATAATAATTTTCTACCATGACAAATAATTGTTAGTCACCTTTCTGAAAACTTGATTGTTTTGGAAATATAGTTGTGATTTACCCATTTAAAACGTCTTCAAATCCTCTGTAAATCATTGAACGGTCACTTTCTAGTAAGCCTCGTTTTCGTCTACCGGTATAATTAGGTGGATAAGTTTGAATTTGTGTCAGGTTAGTTGGCACAGCATACTGCATTTGAAAATTCCATCCAATAGACATAGACTGCTTAGAACCCAGCTTCAGAGGGGTACCAATTCCAATAACCATCTGAAAAATGGATTTCTCTGTAAAAATATGTAGATTGTTTCAGTTGGATCTCAGCTAGAAAAATGCAAAATATACCACTTTTTGAAATTCATACTCTGTTTGAGGTACAGGGTACAGGGTACAGGTACAGGGTGAGTCCTGACTGGGGTTTAACTTTCAGTGGATATTTTCAACTCACCTACAATCCTCAATGAACTGAAAATGGGCAATAACTTGAAAGAGGAAACCTGATATGAGGTAGTTTGAGTTTCATTTTGAGTCCTGTCTGTGTTCTAGAATCATGATGTATCGTTTTGATATCATTGAATCATTTTTCTTTGAATTTCTGATCAAGAACAAATTTCTCAATGAAACGATTTCGGTAGGTAATCTTAAAACTTTGTCTGATGTCATACAATATTTGGTTTTCAGTGCAAAAGATCATCATCCAATAGTTTGTTATGTTCAATAATAACTACTGATAAAAATAATTTTCAAACAACTCTCAGTTGTTTTCTCTAATTTTTATTTGTTTGAAATAGTTTCATAAAAAAAACTCTTATAAACTGAGAACTTTTGTTGGGATGAAACTTCAGTGGTATTCAATATGTGTCCCATAAGGTTTCCATTAGAAGTTTGAGTGGAATTTTCAAAAAAATGTTTTTTATGGAAGTTTAAGTTATCAAAATGTTTTGAGCTTCTTTAAAATAATCTCCTTCATACAGCGTACATAGTAGAAACGTGGCATTCCAAAGTTGGATTTCTCTAAATGAAAATGTCATATATTGGCTCTTCAAATTCGGATTCCATCAGGATTTTTTAGAAAATGTAGTATTACATAGGTATATACTAAGCGGTTCGAAAGTTATGCTAACAATTACGTCAAGAGTAAATATATTCGACTATTCCCATTTTCAAAGAAAATTCAATCAATTTCCGAAAGAAGATGATTTTGAATGTAATTTTTCCATTATAAGATGATAATGTCGAAAGATATCTCACACAGAGTAAACATTCGACTTGAAATAAATTTTTAATTGATTTTATCGAATGATATTTTTTGAAAACTATTTCAACATTGAACTTCTGCTAGAGAATACCTTCAGATAATCAATACTTGCAAGAATAAAAGAATACGATGTTTTTATGGTAATTGTTCGTCCAGGAGATACAATCTTGATAACGCTAAGAGTCTCATGGAACTCCAAAAATCATACACTTTATTGAAAATCTATAGGGTTGACGTTTCTGATTTCATTTGGAAACCATATAGAAAATTGGTTAGTCTTTTCAGTTGTTACAAAATTCCCATGAACTCATGATATTTCCAATGAAAATAGATCACCAGAACTCTATAAACTTGATAAAATGGTATTTTGAAAAGTTTACCCTAAAAAATAACGATATAATATGAATCTTAGATTCACTTCAGTTTCGGGAAGCAGTCTTTTTCGTTTTTCAAAACAAATTTGAAAATTTCAAAGTTTGGGTTTTGTTAACCTTCCATTACTCGTGCACGGTGTATCGGACCGGCCCAAAATTATTTTCTTCGTAATTTCGATATTCGCGGCGGTGCATCGTCCCCCCCTCCATGTACCTTTCCAGTACTTCATCAGTTAACATCGCCATCAATTATCAGTTGATATGAAGTGTTTCTCAGGAGTGCTACCCCAACACGGTGCAATAGACCGGGTGCGAGTAAACAAGTGACTTATTTTTATCATTCGTGAAAAGATTCTAAAATCGATATCGGTAAAATTCCTTTTGTATTTCACAAGAACTACTATAATATCATTATTTTTGTAGTGAAATTGAATATTGATATTAAGTATGCTCACGATAAAATTGGAATATCTTTGAAAAAACGTTGATTTGCATAAGAAATTGAGTTTTGCAGTTTCTCATTTTTTCAAAAATTTGTATTAACTTCTTTGATATTTTTGTCTCTTGCTGCCAACTTGCCGATGGAATGAAAAGAAAGAATGTATAATATACCAGTTCCTTCAGAAAACTCGCGTACGCTGCCGCCCGTTTTATAAATCGACGCGTACCCTAATAGTATATTATGCAACGATCATGTAATGATGGTTATTAAGACACGAGCATTAACCGGGATACGGAACGAGCCGAAGGTGACTTTTGTATGGTATATGCGAGTGTATTAATAACCATTACATGAGAGTTGCATACGCTATTTTTTCTAAACCCGATAAATAATGAAAAACTATAAATATTATATTTGTATTGAACACATTTACAGTAATTAACTCATATTTTTTTAAAAA